AATAGAATTATATCAACACTATAGCAAATTATGTTGGATTTTTTACATCTAAAAAAATCAGTAGTACCTAGTCAGTAACCCCTAAGATTTCTAGAATTTTGTTTTCCTTCTGATTAGTGACAATATCATGAAGAGCAGCTTTATCTACTCGATGACCCTAATAAAATTCTCAAAAAGGCATAACCCCAACTTTAAACTACACCAATAACAATAGTGTAGACTAAAAATTTGTGTTTTTATGCTTTTGAAAGTGTGTTCTATGGTTTATAAAAGGATTATTATGAGGAATGTAAATTCCCTTATGCTTAAGAAACAATATTATAGTCACCATACAGGGAGTTATTGTGTGCATTTTAATGAAACATACTAACAATCATTTATTGAGATTATAATCCCAAATCTTAACGTTGTTTTCCCCCTGTGATTCAGAACTACTATCATTAATTTGCCAGTAATGAAAATTATGCTGAGACAAAGTTGCTGTTCTTCTTTAAGTCTTTCATATTTTCATTTGCAAGTTTAGCACACTTTGGCTCTTGTTTTCTGTTAACAGCAGTCACTTGCAATTAGACTGTGGTACCCTTAGATGAATTGTGGTTTTGCTTTGTAGTCTGAAGAAACAGACTCCCATCAGTTATAAATAGCAAAAAGGGAAGCATGCATTTTCATTCACTACCATTTTCAAAGAATATATTATTCCTTATTGAGGCAAATAAATATTACAAAATACTGTAAAGAATTGAAAGAATATAGGGAAACATAACCCCTCGGTGCAATTTAATATCTTTCAAGATTGCTTACATTTAGTGCTTCTCAAATTTGTTGTGATATAGCCTCTAGAAAATCTGAAGAATACTCCAAGGCAATGATGTTTAAACATAAAATAAGGAATACCTAAATTTATGTAAATCTATTATCACATTATTGTGTAATCACCTCAAGTGATAGTTTAAAAAATAGACAAGAAATATTAGGTATCACTGGTTTTGAAGAAAACTTTGGAAGAAAAACAATTAAGACTGAATTAACTTAAAAGTTTTGTAGCTACGAATTGGGAGCTGTTTCAGCCCCCTCTCCTGTCATACTCCCCCCAAATTTTCATTTGACTTGGAGACAGAATTTATTGAGCCAGCCTATGAAGTGACAATGTTCTATAGGACTATAGTTTGAACTGACTGTGTGTGTGTGTGTGTGTGTGTGTGTGTGTGTGTGTGTGTACACACACACATACACATAGATACAGATTTTAAAAGAAATGAAAAACAAAGGGGAATATGATAATAACTTAAAATGAAGCTGGGATGTAGTATGTCCTATGATAGAAATCCAGGGTTTAAAGAAGGGATGGCCTCATATGCTTAGCTCTTATGCACTGCATGATATCTAAGCATGTCAGGAAATAGTTCATGTACATTTGTGGAATTTGTTTAAAACTGTATATAGATAATTAGACTTTTCTGGTTTCAGTAGGAATGAAGGTAACTAGGTGGAGCAGTAGATTTACTTTGCAACCTGTTTCTCCCCCCACAAGTTAGGAGCAAACTGGCGAACGACTATCACGGCTCAGGCTCCCTGACTTCTGGTGGCAGGGTTCCAGAGACAAAATAAAAACACTTTTAAATTTAATCCTGGTGAAAATAAATCCTATATCACCATTTTCTTTCTCCTATCAACCGACATTTTTAAAACGTTTAGAGCCAAATAACTGTGTCCACTTGGCCAGATTTTAGAGGATACAGAGAGCTGGGGAACAATCTTACTGAAGGGATTGAGTGGGATATGACTGTCCTAAGACCGAAGCCCACAAATCTGTCACCACTTGCACCGTGCTCTTATCAGAGCCTGGGAAATACAAAATGTCATTTCCCTATTCACACCGCCCTCTTTTAAAGTGGTTTTGGTGTGAGTCAGCTCTTCCATCAGGGCCTCTTCTTTAGACTCTCTCCCAGTGTTGCTAATTGCACTTAGGTGGCAAATACTCCAGGCTGTCAATCACCCTTCAGGACGAATTAATTTTTATGAGTTGGCCTTCTTCTGAGGCTTTTTTAAATAACAGGAGAAATAAGAATTTTGAATATGTGAAAGAAAAAAGATTGAGTGGTCATTTGGCAGATATAGGGAACTTTGATAGAGGACAAGCCCAAGGGAGGGTCAGAGAGAGAGCAAGCACATCAGGAAAACCCAGGCCTTCAAGGCCTTGAGAAAGGCCAAGACAGGGACGTGAGTGGTAGAAAGGCAACATTGTTTGCTTCGAAGCCTTTCCTGGGCCAGGCCCTTCCTTTTCCTTCTTTTCTCAGGCCGGGGGCAGCTGCCGTTTGACTCCGATAAAACATCATCTACCTTTTCTCCTTGCCTCACCTTATTTGGAGTGTGGACTCCAGGTGAAGCGAGCTGACTGCATGATGAGTCTGAATGCCGTTACCCGATAGGCCTGTACTGGTTGTGCAGAACAAACGGCATTCATGGCAAATGCTTCAGACCTTCTGTAGCCCTCTGGGCACTAAGATAAAAGGTCTTCAATTAAATGTGTGTCTAAAATTCTGTATTTGATGCTACATTTTCTGTTTTCTTATTTGCCCCTGAAATCTAGATTTTTAGACTTAGACTTTTGAAAGGGTAATTTTTCTTTTAAAGTTTTCTTATTTTTTAAGTTGCACATCTTTAATGTGTAGTATTCTTCTTTCCTTATATGTGTAAGGTGAAAATTATGCTATTTTAGTGTTTTCCTTTAGTACATTTCCTTTAGAAAGGAAATATCTTTTTAAAGCTT